GCCTGCACACGGTTACAATCAGACAGGGGGCTGGACCATATAATAGATATCCTGCGTAGATACTCTTTAGCCGCGCAGGCTAGGGCCAGCCGTTCATCCTGTTGAACGTTCTCTAGCACCCCCAGGAATTTGTAGTGTTTTCCTTCCCCAAGAGCCGTGATGGTAGTTGTCTCATCCATCCTCATACCAGACTCGTCTAGCACTTGGGCTCCCCTCTTCACGTGTACCACTGAGCACTTTTTCTGATTCCAGTAGAGGCCGATGTCCTGCATCGCTCCTCTAGTCTCTTTCAGCACTCGATTCAGCTTGCTCTCGGAGGCAGCAAAAACCTTGAGGTCGTCGATATACAGGAGATCGGTGACTGTGACTCCTATAGGCTTGGATAACCGGTATCCCTCTGTTGCCCGCAGGCGCCACGCTACAGGGTTCAGGCACAGTGTAAACAGTCTAGGACACAAAGCGTCCCCCTGGGGTAGACCCTTCAAGAACCTTATTTTTCTAGAAGTCTCTCGCCCTTGCCTTGTTGTAGCTACTACTTTAGTATTCCAGCTCGCACACAACTTGCGTATAACCTCACCCAGCCAGACGGGAAGCCTGTGTACGTCAGTCATTGCGCATAACCAATCATGATCGACGGAGTCGTAGGCTTTGCGCACGTCAATCCATGCCATACTTAAATTCCGTTTGCCTCTGTGACAATCCAGCATTACTGCTCTATCGATTAGCAAATTATCCATCGTACCGAAACACCCTGATTTCGCTCCTCTTTGCTGGCCTTCCATCAGGCCATAATGTTCAAGGTGTTGGTCCATGGGTGCCAGGAGGCAAGATGTAAACCACTTATACATGTTATTCAGACAAGTAATATTATTATTATTATTATTATTATTATTATTTAATTAATTTTTCATAAATTTAATTTTTTCATGTTCCGGGATGTTCCGGGATGTTGCGGAATGTTCCGGGATGTTCCGGATCTTCCGAAATGTTCCGGGATGTTCCATGTTCCGGGCTTTATCGACGTCCCAAAAAGTCACATGCTAATTCGGGGTAAATTTAGACAGTTTTAAACAGACTGAGCTATTGTTAGTCGCGTGAAGTTCTATTCTTCATCGAAGAATAGGCAAATGTTGCGGATGTCTGGGCAGGAATAATAACCAGGAAAGGGATATACCCAGCGGATTTCTTGATTGACACTAAATTAACGTCATTTTTTACTTATTTGCATTTTCACGATCGACGTTTTTGAATGGCCGCGTTACGGTCTTTGAGCTTTGCTTCGCCTGCGCTAGCGTAGCAAGCGTTTCTGTTTGGTTTACCGACGAACGAGATTCTCGGATTTTCTAGGCGTTTCTACATTGATATCATTTTACTGCCATGATAAAACATTTCCGACCTTGCAGTATCATTTTACTGCCGTGATGCGATATTTCTTCCTTGATATCATTTTACTACCGTGATGGAACATTTTCTTCCTTGATATCATTTTACTACCGTGATGGGACATATTGTTCTACCTTGATTTCATTTATGGTAGTCTTTACACTAGAGCTTAAATAAGTTAAGAAACATTTCAAGACAAGTAAACTTTAAATGCTTCAAGTAAAACAAAGCAAAGCTTCACCCACAACCTACCTTTTTTACGTCAGGTTTACTAAGTATTTTCCCACGCAACAAAATTAAGATTGATTGACATGCTTCGCCTTTCTCAAAGCTTGGAAACCGCAAGTTCGGTAAGTCGGTTTTAAGGATGGTTTTCAAATTTATTTTTAATTATTTTATTTTTTTTGAAATATTTCTTAGCTTATTTAGGCTCTAGTGTAAAGACTAGCAATTCTTGCTTGATATCATTTTACTACCGTGATAAAACATCATTTATCTCTCCTCCCCGGTTTACTAAAACCCAACTTTACTGCCAACAGCCGAGCTTTGTTTATTAGAGCGCCTAACTTAGGAAACAAAGAAAACCCATACTGTGGTCTGGGATTAAAAATAAGGCCAAATTAATGGCCGGTTTTATTCAAAAGTGAAAAATCTTCTTATCGATGTTAAAATATGAAATAATGTTTACAAATTTATAGGTCTAGCAAAGGTGAGGGCCAGAAGAAAAAGGCACCTAATCTACAAGAAATACCTAAAGCAAGTAAAATAGGTGCAACATTGGGACGGAGGCGGGTCCATTGCTTGTTCAAAGGATAGGCGGGTCAGCTATCGAAGATTCGGCTTGATGTAAGCTTTCAGACCGAGAGGATTAACAAAAGGCTGTAAAGGGTACGAGATCGTAGACTGCGAGCAGTCTCTCTTTTTCTTCAGATTTAGTGAGAGCAATGCACGCGCACGGGAGCGGCAAAGCCGCGAGACGCGCGAAACGAGGGCGGCAGCCCGAGAGGAAAAAAGTGCCTCTCCCTGTCTCGTGCCATCAGTCACGCGCGAGGCCATTTGCGTGTCTTGCGTTTTGCTCGACGGACTACAGAAAAAAGAGAGACTGCTCGTAGTCTAA